TGAGTGACGAACTGACTGAGTGACGAACTGACTGAGTGACGAACTGACTGAGTGACGAACTGGCTTTTTTTCGTCCACTCGTCCTCAGTGTCAGTTTCACCTCCGCGGAGGTCGTCACGGAGGTCGTCACGGTTGCTGCTGCTGCGGCGCACACAGTGCTCGGCTCTAGTCTCCCATCCCCCGCTGGCCACTTAGGACCATAATCTGGCAGCACTAAATCACGGCCTGCAGAGCCCAGCCACGCCGCGCTGCGCCCAGTTCTTGGAGATGCTCCAGCAGCACGGCTTTGCCCCCCCCCCCCCCGCCCTCTTCCCCTTTTTCGCTGCTCGGCTCTTCGCCGTACATCAAAATACTATTCTATCTCCCAGTCGTTAATTTTTTGCTCGCAGATTTCTTTTCCGCCCCAACTTTCTTTCGCTCCTTTCTTCCCGCCCGGGCGAAGAGAAATGAGAGCCAAGTAGTGGGGACGTGCCGTGGGGCGTGGTGGCGTGGAGGGGCGTGGCGGGGCGTGGCGAAGGGTGTGGAGGCTGGCGGTGGAAAAGTAGAGGTAGGGGGAGGGGCGTAACTTTCCCTCGGAGTTACGGATTTTATTTTTAGGTCCTCATTTCCGCACCACTTATACCCAACTGTCTCTGCGCGCCCTGCTCGCCCTGCTTCTGCTCCTGCCGCCGCGTCCCGCGCCAGGACCAATAGCTTCGCGCATGGGGCGCAAAAAGGAGCTTGGAGGAATAATGTTTCCTTCAATCTGTTTGAATGGAACGAAAAAAAAATGTCCTGCTTTTGAATGTCATCTTCTCCCGGGAGGAAAAAACTTAACTTTTACATACACGCCTCTACTTAACTGAAACTTAACTTTAAGTACACAAAAGTTACTTTAAAGTATACACAAAGTACTAGATATTTCGGACAAGGGGTCCAAGTGGCACATAATGTCCACTTAAAGTTAACATTTAGACGTTAACTTTCATCATGTATACCATAAAGTATACTTAAAGTTCATTTCTTTCCACCCGGGTGGCGTTTACTTCAGACTCAAAACTTCGTAGGTTTCGTTCTTAACAGATTGCCCGTCGTATACAAACTGCAGCTTTATGCCTGAAGAGTGGTTCGGGATAGGGATCTGTGTGGGTCCCCACATTTTGTTTCACATGTCCTTATTGTCTCCCGTCCCCGTCACTATTGAATTGATTCACCTTGGAATATCTCGAGGAACATCTTTATCAAGGGTGTCACGTTTTCAAACATAAACGGTCCAAAACATTTGAACTGACGAGCGTGTTCAAATGTTTCCCGCTCGCGCTCGCCCAGCGTAAATGCGCCCAGCAGGCTGGACCCCGTAGCGGCAGTCGGTCTGTTCTCAGCCTCACTCCGTCTCCTTGGCAACGGGGCTCCAGCCAATGGCGTCCCGAGGATGAGGGCGGGGGCGCGGTGGGGTGATCCTTGCTGCCGCCATGACCCGGGAGGAGCTGGAGCCGTTCCGTGAGGAGGTAGTACGGACAGGAAGAGGTTCGTATGTGCTCCGGGCGAGAAGAAACTCGCGGTAGCCGATAGATTTTCTAATTACCATACACTCTGTGAATAAAAGTCATAATATCGCTCTCAAAATATGTCTACAAAGAGTTTGATTTCTTTTTCTTAAAACATTGCTGGAGACAAAAAATGAAGTCTTTTTTCAGAAATTTCCAAACAATTAATAAAACAGTAACGCACGATTTTACACCAAGGGTTTATTATAACAACAAAAATGACAATTTCCAAATAAATTTAAAAATGTTAGTCACAAGTTCATAAGAATTTTCCGACAAGTTTTTAAAAGGTTAAGAAAATTATTTTTTTAAACTGCCACGGTTTCAAATTTTTCAAACTTTTGAGGTGCGAATTATCCAGTTACTTGTTTGCTGGTTTCAAAAAATAATTTACCGTGTTACTGTCTTCCTTTCACGCCTGTAGAGAAGGCGTAAAGAAATTGTCCTTATTTGTGTTCTTAACGAGCTTTTAACTGGATGAACGTTAATCTTTCACATTGAATGCATTCTCGTTCTAGAGGATGTACAGAGTAAAATTATAGTTTCCAACGAAAAGATATCCGTCTTCTCTCGTGAAAGAGTCAAAGTGGCAGGCACTTCCAACTTTCCTTGCGTATTCGCGATAAAAGAGCCACTCCGGCCCGTGCTAAATACACTGGTAAAACAAGTGTTTAATATTGCACGTCAATTGACGTCTAAGTTCAAGTGTGCTTTTTCTCGACACTTTGTGGTGTCGAACTATGTTATACGTCAGTTGGCGTTTAAATTTTCGACACTTCCGAAACGTAGCAGCTGCACACCGTATGGTTCCCTATTGACAGCATAGAACTGTGTGTGCCCAAGTGTGCAGAATTTAAACGTTTACAAAACGTCTAAAATTTGCACACCACGCAAGGGTGCAACTTGAGTTAAACACCATGTGATGTGCTAAATCACAACTTGCACACGTTGGTGTGCAAATATTGCACACTTGTTTTACCAGTGTAGAGGATGCGAAAATTCGCGAGCAGTTTCCCGGCGGCGCCCGTGTGCCCCCTTCCTCCGCCGCCGCCCCCACCGCTAGCGCCCTCCTCCTCCACCTCCACCAGGGCCTCCTCGTGGTCCGCTATCGCTGCGGCGCATCTCGCCAATGCCCCTGTCCTGCTCGGCTCGCCTTGCTCGGCTCCACCTTCAGGGCCTGCATGGCAAGGTGGTCGTAGCACGCGTGGGGCGTAACGGCCGTTGAGAGAGAGAGAGAGAGAGAGAGAGAGAGAGAGAGATACAGAGCGCAGGAGCGGCATGCAGCACGTAGTAGCCCCGGAGCCATGCTGTTTATGACCTCATTTGTTCTTGGGGAGGGGAGCGGGGAGCGAGAGAAAAACGGGGAGGGGGAAGACAAGGAGAGGTAGGGACCGGGCAGTGGGTGGCGTGCAACGAAGGGTTGAGAGCGAGAGGGAAAGAGAGAGAGTGACAGAGAGAGAGAGAGAGAGAGAGAGAGAGAGAGAGAGAGAGAGAGAGAGAGAGAACACATCCCACCCAGATTAAGACCGAGACCTTAGATGATTTAGGACACTTTTGGTTTGCATTATAAGCTCTGTCTCTCTCTCCGCCCATTCTGCCTCCATTTCTTCCTCTCCCTTTCTCTCCCTCTCCCCTCCCTTCCACTTACTGTTTTACATTCACAGCTCCCAGCGAACTGCAGTCGTACGCGATGCCCTGGAGAAAGACGTAATAACTTTTGAATTTTCGAGGGAACACGTTTTATCTCTATATATTCTCTGGTGCTATTCTCTCTATATATTTCTGCCTCTCTCTCCTCCCCTCTTTCTCTGTATGTCTCTCTCCCTTTCTTTCGGTTTGCCGTCATCAGTTTTCCCCCAAAAGCTTACTATCCAACATCACTAGCGTTAAAGTTTCCATCGGAAAAAGCAGATTTATTTTCCGGAGAGCCCACGATCCGACTGTCCCAAACCCACTTCTATAGACATAGCGAGTAGGTTTCAGTTTCCTTTTGACAATGGAAACACAATTCTTCCTCTCCCTCTTTTTGTCTGTTAAAACGAGAAACAGAGACCGTGCATGGTGGTGAGGTGGGCGGAACAGAGCACAATCTGGCCAAACAATAATAAAAAGGGGAACGATTTGCGCGCGGCACTCTGCGTCTCGCCGCGATAAAACATTATTTACACTCATCTTTTGGCGTGCGTCGATAAATCATGAGCTGATGCGTGATGGGCGGCATAAAAAAAAGCGCCCCCCGCCGCTGACGTGGCGCCGCGTAGGGCAGAGCAGGTGCTAATTACCTGAGGGGGAGAGGGGAGGAAGGGAGGAAGGGAGGGTGATATGAGGTAGGAGCTCGATCCTGAATATCCCCCGATTGTTATCGCGTCTAGGCTGAATTAAAAGATGACGGATTGCGGCGTCGGTTATGAGCACCTGCTCTTTTTCATACACAAGACTTCACCTCGCCTAGATCGGTTTCATTTTTACTTTGACATAATTTTTTTTCGGTGTCGTCATCATTGCGTTGACAGACACTATCTTGGATGAAGATGAAAATTATATTGCGTGAGAGGGGATAGCGGTAAATCCGAGGTGGCAATAGCTCCCTCTTGATCCCCCATGATTCCCAGTGATTCCCCCACTTAGGTTTGCCAGTGGAAGAAAACGGTTATTTCGACTAATTTGTACCAGTTCCACTAGTTTCCCGCTCAGTTTTCAGCGACTTCTGTTGATTTCGATTAATTTTTTATTCTGAGGGTTCCCAGCCAGCTGTACATATGATTCCCGGAGTTGTTGCCCCCTCGGGTAAATCGTGGTAGTGTAGTTATTCCTCTGGAGGCTTAATGTTTGTGGCGTCTACAAAATTGTTTTAGGTAATGTTAATATTATGCCCACTCGTAGCATAGCTGATTGTCTAAAGGAGTTTTATTTATTCGATAACTTATTGTGAAAGTTACGCAGATGCAAATGCTCAAGAGCTGATGGTGATTGTAGTCCATGTTCCCCCTCCTACCGGTCTGTGTTGTGGACCCATCAATCCTAATATGCCGCCTCCGCCTTGTGTTGCAGTCACGAGCAGCAAGAGTTACCACTCGTCGGACAGCCTCAGCACCCGAGTGAAGAGCGGTGAGTACGACGCACACAACAAGCATTCGCATTCTCTCTGACTTTGGTCCTCGCGGCCGATATGTGTCTGGCGGGCTTGTGTCGCTCGCTGATGTGAAGCGCCCTCCCCGTGACGTGGAGAGGCACTGCTCTGGGCCTGGTGGGACGGAGCAAACAAAAGGGGGCATGGGTCGCCAACAACTGTCGGCTCTCCGTGAAGTACTTAAATGAGAAAATGTGTCGAGCACGCAACAAAGTGTCTTGAGCAGCGGAAAGTCCTCACAATAGTTCGCGTACGAAAAATTGTGCAAAATATCTTTGTAATTTTACAACATATTTAAAAATTTGCCATTTACGAAATATGTTGTAAAATCGCGGCTTTTTCGCTCGTCGAAAATTTCTAAGTTGATACGTAGCGCTCCCGGATGGAAGGATCTGCACTCGATACTGCACTTGTAAACTGTAGTTTAAGTACAGTTTTACTGCATTTAACTGTAGTTTAACTGCAGTTAACTTTAGATTGACACAGTACGAGTATAAACTGTAGTTAGGTCTACAGTTTAGCATTAGATCCTTCCACCCTACATGTGTGTAGCTGTAATTTTACGACACACATCATGATGTCATGGAAAAATTTTCCGTTAAACCAACAACTGTTTTTCACCAGGATACAATCGATTCGGAATTGCGATTTAATGATGACTTTTATAATCCGAAAGCGACACGGTGACCCACACCAAAGACACACATACACAGCAGATTATCCCCTGAGAGCTTCTCGTCGCAACTCTTCCGTTCTCCCCTTCCCTCTCCCCTCCCCTCCCCTCTTCCCCACCCTCCCTAGCGGCTC